CAGCATAGATTATTAATCTAAAAAATTAATTCTCAAAACTGAAAAAAGAAATATAATACATTTAACTCCTTATGACAATTATGAATAAAGCATATACATTTCAGTATTTCTGTTCTTTTTCTATGACGCGATTGTAGCGTTGTAATTCACACATTTACTATTACTCACTAAAATATTGTATTTAATGATTCATCTTTAATAAAGGAAACGATTATTCATATATATCCAATTATATGGAGTAAATTAAAACGAACATACTTGATAATTTTTTTTTGATTTTAAAATTTTTTATCATCATATTTACCATTTAATACTAATAGAAAATATATTTTTGCCTTCGATAAATATAAAACACATGCAACGTAGTATAATTGCACAATCACAACAATTATTGTGCTAAGATACATATAGACATTAAAATCTTTTTTTTTTCTCTTCACACGCCATCTATCGATCTTTATGTCCAAAGCACCTTTACCTTTCTTTTGGTTGATAACATAGATATATGGTTACGAACGGGTATATTTTTATCTATTAACAATCTCTTTGAATTCATCAGGTTGTCATAAATGTTTCAATAGATTTTCTATACTAATGAAATATTTACATACCTGATATTTATTAATTAAATATTGTCACATGTGCAATCATAAATCACGAAATTTTTTGTTTGAATCATTTCTAATAACAGCTATTTAGAATTACATTTTCAAATCATTTTAACTAGAGAATATAGGTATGTTTCTGAATAAGAAAGACAGTAGGGTAAAAATTGTTGAAACAATACTATTTGCATAAAAGATTACTTTTAATGAGTTTATACCCGAGTAATAAATAACCTCTAAAAAAATTTTTAAAATTATTCTTTAATAATACCTATGTATTCGTATTTGAAACATCCGTTAACGAGGGTGTGGGTGTATAGATGATAATAGCTCAGATACCCATGCCCACACCCTCAAGAGGATGGGAATTACATTCCCTTGTTTTTTTTCTAACGTTTTTTTTTGCAGTATATAAAAGTAGAATGAAAATAAAATAAGAAAACAAAAAATATCAATAATAGCAGGGTTTTATTTCCAGACACTAGGAAAAAACGAACGTACAACAAGTAAAAAAATATACAAACAAAGAAGAAAGTAATTTTGATTGATTTATTTTAGTACACCGAGATAAAAGATCATTGAAATCATTCCAAACTTGTTAATATTCTCATTCATATTAGTGATCATCTAGATAGGAAAATCAACTAATGTTTCTTGGTCGGGATCATTTAAGAACTTTAATGGTCCAAGTACAACGGAAGATCTATTTCTTGTTTTAGCTCGTAACCAAAATGGATATACGAAACCTAAGCAATATAAAACAGGAAAAATGAATAGGATATATGGTGGAAGATTGATATTATATTTATTCCGAACGATATTACAGGGAATAATTGATAGAATACAAACAAGAAACCATAATGGTCCCATGATTTTTGACCATTGAAAAGCATTCCTTTCACGTATATAGAGATAGAGGACATAAATAGTATGAAGAATACAATAGAAGTAAAGAGATATAAGTAGTCCAACTAAAATGAACACGTACGAATCAGCATGACCACTAATGTTGTGTGCACCGGCTATAATAAGAGCTCCAACCAAGGGAATAGCAACAATGATATGAATAACATATAAAATAATCCGATTAATAATTGATTGATTTTCTAATAGTGATCGAAATCGACCAATGATAATTACTAATATTTGAGGAAATAAGATAACCATTCCAACGAAGAAATAAAAATCAGATGAAGGGTACGTTTCAAGCATTATTCCTCGTTGTGGACTTCGTATAAACTTTAAGTAACATATCACTACGGTTATGATCACAGTTAGAGTAGCGGTGAATGGTAAAATTAGTAAAGATCGATCGAAAACTAATGCTGAAGTTTTTCCCATTTTCGAAATTACAATTACCTTATTTGTTTCGTTTGAGTTGGTTAATTTATGTATTATGTTGTATTTAATTTGACAGATAATGAGAGTCTATGTGCACAAACAATCGTATGTGATAAAATATAATGTTTTGATTTTGTTAAAACTAAATCGGTATAAAAAATCAACAATAATTGTGAAAGAGAAAAACATCCATCTCATGGAATGAGACGAATAAACAGTGGATAAATGAAGTATGAGGAAGTCTAGAAGTGACATCTATAAAACATCGTGTTTGCACATTCTTTTCTTTCCTTCCTTTGAGAGAATTCTATATGGAAAGGATTACATGTTCAAGTTTTAATGCTTATTTTCATTGATTATGAAGTTGATACTATTTAAAAAAGCCTTCGTATGCATACATATTAAGAAAAAAAAGTTTTTTTTGACTTCATCTGTAAACTTTTTCACTACACCATAAATCAAGATGGCTTGGGTGGGTGTGGGTAAGAGAGAAGAGGATAGCTTCTACACCCACACTCACCCACACCCTCAAGATTATTTTTTATTATTCGATGAGTGATAGAATAATTCTATAGGATATAATTAATTTTTATAGTTAAGCCAAATGTCTAAGTATGTGTTGTCATTCTTAAAAATATCTTCTTGAGAAGTAAATTCGTAAAGAAATGTCTTTTTTAATTTCGAACCAAGTTCTTGTAGCTTCTCATTTAAATCCTCCACAGACAGATGAAGATCTTCGGAACACTTAATTTTAATACAGGATAGTTTTGATAAATATTCCAATATAAACATCAAATCATTTGAATGCTGGACAGAACATTGAAGTTGTTCCAGATTAGAAAATGTTTTACAAAGTTTGATTAGTTTATTTGAATCAATCGATGAAAGACCTTCTCTAGCGAAAATTAATAATTTTTTAATCAGTTTATTAAAATATGTGCATAGTTCATCGCTTGTAAGTGATGATATTAAACATTGCGGAGTTATACCGATTACTGATAAATTTGGTGTTTGTTTAAGTATTTGTAATAATATTAATGGTGATTCAATATGTACTAAATGGTTGATATCTAAATATTTTATATTTGCTAAATTAACACTCATTTCAAGTAATTGTAGAGCTTGCTTATTAAATACAACAGGTGCGAGACCATATCCAAATTTTAATTTTAATCTGAGTAATTTGATATTTGATAGATAATGAGGCATTTCTCGGTTCACTCGTTTTACACAAAAGTTCAAGTGTGTTATGTTGTCATGTAATTTTGATTTGTTTATTGATGCATCACAATTGATGTTTATATCTGATTCTAGTCTAATGTAATTTAAACAATAAGGAATAGTATAGATGACTGCAGATTTATCTCCATATTCGCATACAGTATACCACTGATGTTGTTTAAGCCAGAAATCAGTTTGAAATAGTTTAAACTGTTTCAAAACCTTATCTTGACATAAATCATAAAAACTAATCTCAAAAACAAATTCAAAAACCTTTAATTGAGGTATTAATACTGTAATCATTTTCTCCCAAAGATCAGCACCAACTATGTCTATTTTGTTCTGTTCAGGTAAAAATATGCCGTGTTCAGTATAGGTAACAGAGAAAGTCAATATTTTCAAATTTGGCGTTTGTCTGAATATCAATTCATAAAGATCAGGTTGAAACCAATCTTTATTGTGTATAATTAACTGTCGTAAACAAACAGCTTGGTCATTAAGATAATCTAAGTGATTAAATCCATTGTAGTCATCATCAGATAATCTTTCAATTTTTAAATATTTCAACAGTGGTATACCTCGAAAAAATTCATATAATGTCTCTAACTCACAACTTTCAGACACTGTTAAATGTGTGATTGGGATTGTTTTATCAATAAACATTGAATCATAATATAGCATTGATACTGTTAACATTTTTACTGTTGACTCCATAATCACTGTTTGTATATCTTCACTAAAGTAACATTTTCTAATAACAAGATGCTTCAGATTAGATAAAGATTCCAACATAGACTTCATTTCTTCACCATCGATAGAAACTATTTCAACCAAAGTTAATGATCGTAAATGAGAAAATTCGTTTAATTGAAACATTGACAAAAATGCTTGTGCTTGTCCGCGTGTACCTATTATATCTGACAAATTTAATGAAACTATTTGATCTTTAATAGACGGATACAGTAACATTTGAGTACAGAATTGATTGAATACTTCACTTTTAACATTTTGAAAATTGGCATGTAATGGAATATTTCGAATTAACTGATTAAAGCGATTGTTTAATCCACTAAATGCATAATATATATCTATCCCATTTAGATATCCAAAAAATTCCAAAAGCGTCTCATTCGGTAAGAATTCAAATTTGGTCATCGTAGAGTTTTTAACAACAAAATGCGATGAATTGCAGTATACTTTTACTCGTCTATATATATAGCAAAATTTCATTTGTATGTGTAATCTTTGTCATTGTTTCAATGAGTCACATAGACAACAATAAATTGCAACATGATAAAAAAATGTGTTTCCTTCCTAGTTAAAAGTAATATAAATCTTTCATGTTTCGTTTTTATCTATCCGAAACTTCCAACAACAAAAAAACTAAAAACTATAATTTTGTCTGAGCAAAATTAAAATTTCATTAAAGATAAATTTATACAATCACTAACAGTTTATATTGTAAAAAGTTATTCAACTTCAAATTGTTAGATCTTAGTATTATTTTGAAATTACTCATATAGAGGGTGTGGGTGTGGGGATGTGAAGAAGGATCGATGACACAATATCCACACTCACACTTGAAACTGTTGACTATAGAAAAGAAATTTATTTTTTTGTTAAAACTATCTATCTACTTTATCGAAAAACTAATGACATATATTGAACAAAAGTAAAATTTAATGTTAATTAAACTATCGAATTTGTTATGACTTTGGTTCAGATGCAGGTCGAATATAATGCCAATAGTCTATGTATGAAGGATTGAAATCAAATGACCTAATATATATAAGCGATTGACATTTATTAACACTTCGAAATAATTCGTGCATTTGAGCAATCAATGGCAATTGACCATAAAATAATTGAAAAGGATATGTTCGACGCAAATAAATATTCAGTTTTAGTTTCTTCAGACGAGGAATTCGACGACGAAGGCAATCAGCTACTTGAGCAAAATCGACTATTTCATCGTGATTGTGGGAATGTGCAACAGTTAGATCAAAATTGATAAGATTTGGAAAATAAGAAAGAAAAATATCATACTGACCATTGTGAAAGAGAAAATTTTTAAGCCATCTAATATTCAAACATTGCAGTAACGGATAGTGAATATTTTGTATTTGAGTTGAAGGTAATTCGTCAGAATGGAAGTGAAAGTGTTTTAATTTAGGACACATAGATAACATCACATGGAAGTCATATTTGTTCTCGGTATGCATATAAAGATAGTGAAGAGTTTTTGCCGAAGCTTTTGACGATGTGGAAAAGAATTCTTGACAATTTTTAATTATGCATTTTTTTAAATAAGGAAATGCACCCGTAAAGATAAATTCAGTGAGTTTAGTAGTACAACCCGATAAACGTAAATATTTGAGTAAAGGACATCGAGCAGGATTAATAAATGCATTCAGTTCATCTTCTGATACAACCGTCCACCATTTTAAATATAATATATTAATATTCAATGAACGAAGATTGATTAAATTCAGGTATTGAAATTGATAAAGATGTAATTCGTTTATACTATCAAAATGAATGGTTAGTGATGTAAATGAATCAAAAAATGATAATGCAGGTTTTAAACAATATATTGAAATTTTTAAATTAGGTTGCTTTTTGAGAATCATATTCATGCGAATATTTAAATGAGCCATGGACGAATAAAGTTCTTCAGGTTTGAGAGATTTAAATATTTCAAATAAAATTTCCACAGGTAAATCTTCCAATCGATATACATCAATTTCATCCATCTCTTCGTCTTTTCTTTTCGATGAATAGCAGAACAATGAACATCATCTACAATATATATATGAAACGGTGCAAGGTCAATTCGTTGTCCGATAATTCGCCGTCTGAACAATTCGTTGCAAATGTATATTGATGAATGCACATCTCTTTCTTTTACTTGTAACTTGCTTATATATACTTAAAAAGAACATCTTTTTAGACATGGGAGTCGATCAATCCGCATGACTTAGTGAAAAAAATGCTAAATCCAATGTTCTCATGTAAGTCGATACTAATGTAATAAACAATGAGATGGTAAGACTATAACATCAAGTAGTAAATTACTTCAACATATGACGTCGGTAATTGATGAAAATATTTTTCGGATCATGTGCCGTTCATTAGGTGAACAAATTGTCCCTAATATTCATCGAAAACATTAATGACGATCCATATATTTATTTTTTATTCGAACAAAATTTGCTGTCGACATCTATAATTATTTATTCGCAACTATAGGCTCATCATGCATGATAAAAAACATTTTGTACAGTTACGAATTCATGTACAAAAGTTGGCAAGATGTATTATTATTATTTATTGACTAAGATGCTGAAAGAATTGACTATTTCATCTTATGACCATAATCATGCTAAAGAGAAACTTGTCGGTATATGCTGACGATGGTATGATAAGAATGAAAATGAGACTGATAAATTTCAAAAACAAAATTACTCAAAAAACATTCATCTATCGAATATTAAATAAAACATTGTTTTCAAAAGATATCAAAATATTATTTCATCAACAATCTACTTTCATAAACTGTACTTGGCAAAAGATTTCTAGTTATGACTTATGAAGTTTAATTTTGACCTGATTACGTAAGGGTGTGAGTGTAAGGTGAGTGAAGATGATATTCTTCTGTTTAATCATACCCACACCCTCAAGATATTCAGATATTTCACTTTTATTCAGTATTCTTTTATTATTTATTGCATTGTTCTTCCAATAATGATTAACTTTTACAAATAAGTTTATGATTATATAATTTCCAATCCATGGTTTGACATTCTTTTGAACAATAATTAGCTTGTTTACATTTGCCACAAAACTTCGATGCACCTGCTTCGCAACAATATCGACAGATGTTTAATATCCATTCAGATTTACTTTGCATTACAATCGAAGAAATATCATCAACACGAATTGATGGTTTCATATCATTTGCTCCTATTCGTAAATATGGATTGATAATATGGATTTTTTTCCCAACAGTATACAGGTTGCTAATTAAATATTCACCTTCTTCTTTCGAAATTCCATAAATGAGCATTCGCTCACAATCAAAGTTTTCATCTTCGATGACTAGATAAATTGAGGGTATCCATGATAATGTTTCTTCAATAATCGTTACAGAAAGTACACATCCAGTATAAACATGATCTTTTCGTGAATTCATTTCTCGTAATGTAATTGGTTTTAAACCAATTAATAATTTGTCTGATTGTTGTTTAACTCGAGGTTTAACAGTAGTTGAAATAGTTTTATAGAATGGATTGTGTTTTTCATCTAATGTTGTTTTCTCCCATTGACGATGATTTTTAATCACTTCTATTCTATGAGAATCAGTCAGATGTTGTTTACGATTATTAATTGGATCTGGTTCGGGGTTGCCAAGTCAAAACTTTAGAAAACAGGAGTTTTCCAAGAGAATTTTTCTGCTAAATTAGTAGGAAAAACAGGAGGTTTTTCTATTTCAAGTTGAGAAAACATTAGACAGTTTTCTCGTAGAAAATTCAAATGTTCGCTAACTAAAATACGTTTATCTCCTTCGTATCAAGCTGATGATCAATAGTTTAATACAAATGATATTATTTTCACTTGAGTTTTATCACAAATAATGTCTTTTTCTATACAGAATGGTCATGAAAAGATTTCTTTTAATTATATCTGTTATGTACTCTTGATCAATTAATATTCTTATCTATATTCTTTCCAAATTAGTTTTTATTCTAATCCATCAGCTAAAATTCTTTTTCATTGTGAAGTTTAAACGAAAGTATTTATATGAATAAATAGAATGATAGAAAGATTCTTGCCAGAGTTTGAAAAAAGACAAGCATTCTTTATTTATTACATTACTATATGAATCGTTTGCACGTGTTTCTTCGCTTATTTTCGGAATGAGCGGCTTATAGTATTTATATACTATAAAAACACAAGATAAACTAATTTTTGACAATAGAAGTTGTTTTTTATTTTAGCCTTTTATGATTTATTAAATGAACATTTTATCGAAATGGCTATCACTTCTGCTTCTTTTTCACTGATGTCTTCACTTTTTGTTGTTGTAATATATACCTATTCATTCTTTTCATATTTGTAATTCATATCAGACTTTGACAGCCAAATAGCAGTGCCAATAAACCTGTAACAACTCCCTAACAATAATGAAAATGGAACGTAGGAATCTTCCTAAGTTATTCAAGATATTGTTCTATTCTAAGCTAAGAAGAGTCAGACGTGAATTCCAAGAAATGTAAAAATCTTTCCAGATGAGAGACATCTTAACTGGTCATTTAAAATGTTGCCCATCGGACTCTTGTCTTGAATACTAAGATCTTGTTTTCCAGACAATAACATGCGCTTTTCTGATATCTCCAGTAAAACAAATACTTTACGTACCGCTAGCTCCTGCAACTAATGATTTTTTTCGAGAAAAATGAAATGAAAGCAAGTATTTTCTTATTCGTTACTATAATTATTAAGTACTGCAATAGTTCTCTTTTGTTCCTATTAAGTCTCTTATTGATTCAAATTATCGCTAACCACCAAGTAAGAAAAAAAACGAAACATCAGGAGAAATCAAAAGAAAATGTTGAAACTCAGTTCTTGAATGCAGGAGATTTTCGATCAGGAGAAAAGTCCAAATATCAGGAGATTTGGCAAGCCTGATCTGGTTCTACATTGAAGTTCGATTCAATCATATCAATAAATGGTTGAATAAATGCAATATTGTCTGATTTATAAGGCAAAAAGCATGGTAATTGTAGTTTTTCTGCCTGTTTGCCTTCTTTATAACAATCTTGGATCCAACGCATTCCAGCATCAGGCGCAAAACCTTTTAAACATTGAGCCATTTCATAATATGCTTCAGGAATTTTTCGATGGTCTTTTGGAGCAATTTTAATAAATTTTTGATAGGCTGTAATTGCTTCATTCATATCTCTTCCTATATGTCGTAATAGAACAGCTTTATGATACAATAGTTCATAATTTTCAGGTTCTATTTCAAGTCCATTGTTTATATTATACAGACCAGCATCAGACTGGCGCCGAAAACCATGCACTGCACCACTTGTTAAGAAAAAATAGACCGATTTTGGATACTTCTGTTTACATAATTCAACAAACTCTTCAATTATTCCGTAGGAATTGATATTCAATGTTGCATAACATACACGAACATCTTCATCGAGTTGCGAAACGATGAAATTTGATTCTTGCTTACATCGAGAAAGTACTCGTTCAATAATGTTGCTAACTTTTTTATGCATGTGACTTGGAATTTGACCTACAATTTGTTCAGTACGATAACATTGTGAAAGTTCATGGACAAATATATTTTCTTGTTCTTCTGTTAAAGTTTCACAAAATAAGAGTATATTTAATGCTTGTATGTGATGTTCTAAAGCACGACAAAGATTTTTGGCTGTTATTGAACCACGTTTGGCATATCCACATAACATTTCGTAATCTTTTAAATATAAATGTTCAGATGCCACCGATGGAGAAACTTTACTTTGAAATGACAACATGTAGTTAGCCGCTGTTTTCATTGCTTTTAACATATTTGGTGAGCTTTTTTGACGTGCTTCCAATGTTTTTATAAACTTATCACGATCTCGTTGAGCGACAATATTGCCTGATTCACATGCACGATCGTACCAAATTCTTGCCATTTCAAAATCATTTTTACTTAATCGCATCTCTGCTAAAGTCATCATAGCAACTGCATCGCCTCTTTTCGCTGCTAATTCATGTAATTCTTCAGCTTTTTCGAGATTTTTATCAACCGCAAGACCATCTAGATACATTACACCTAGATTATTAGCAGCCATTGCGCTACCATGATTAGTAGCACGTTGATACCAATAAACTGCTAATGAAAGATCCTTGCGAACACTAATACCTTCAAAATATCTTACTCCTAAAGCGTGTTCAGATTCAGCTACACCAATATTTGGCAGTCCTTTTATTATAGGATGTTCTGGTGGTTGTGTCGCTGCTTTTTCAAGCCATTCGCGAGCCACATTATGATCTTTTTTTACACCTAGACCTTTATCAAATAATCGAGCTAAGTTATACATTCCTTCAGCATTGCCGGCATTTGCTGCTTTGGCAAAATATTTCGCAGCTTGTTCATAATCTTGTATAACATCAATATCCCCAAGTGCAAACTGATGCCCTTTCATTACATCAGCTGCTGATGGATCTATTAGCTCGAGTAAACTCCTATTTTGCCTCACCATTTCTGGATCCAAACCGAACTTTTCTTTTAGTTCATTTAAATTTTCAGGAATTGTTTTCCAATTCGCTCGTGGATCGAGATATTCTTGTCGAGAATTTCGATGAACAATTATACGACTTTCATCTAGTGCTTTTTGTATTTCAATTTTAGTCGGATCAAGTGCCAATGCTCGTTCAAATGAATTGATTGCCTTGTCATGATAATCTAAGATAGCATAGACTTGTCCAACACGAAAATGTGCTTTCCACCATGTCACCCAAAGTTTTCTTGCTTGTTTAGCATCTTTTAGAGCACGATCTAATTCTTTTGTTATATCGCCATCTTCAGAATTATCAACCGTGTATAAATGTTGTTTATATAATGATACTCGACTCGCAGCCATATTCGAAAAGAAAGTAGCTCGATCATGATTTGAAACACTTGATAAAACTGTTGCTTGGATAAAGAATTTTATTGCTTCAGAATACGTTCCATCTTTATGAGCTTGTATACCTAAGGATTTGAGACGTAATGCTTCGTTCTTATTTTCTTCATTTATTGTTTGTTCTGGTGATTCAAACACACTATCATCCTTTAATTTATCTAATTCCGTATCAATGTCACCGAATGCTACAAGAATTGTTGATAAATCATTCCATCGCTGATTGAATTCTGTATCATCAATAGATTTTGATGAAATATGAGCTAATGTATTTCTTAAATCTTTTAATTGTTTTATAAGCAAATCTTCTTGATCAAGTTTTTGTATTTCATTTGTATTCAATGTTTGTGGACGATCACTAAACAATAGAATAGCAGTAAAAGTCGATACATCCCATTCATTCGTATCTCCATTACCAACAGTTTTCTTTTGTGGAGGCGTCAAATTGATTTTCTTATTTTTCGAAATAACATTTGTTAAATAATTATTTCCATGTACTGCTGAATCAATCCATATTTGACCATTGTTGAATATTGAGTAACGAGTTATAAACAAATTACGAAGTGTAAAACATGCACGTGAGATTAACAAATCTAATTTGAAATAATTACGTACTTCATTTGATATATTGGCCATAAAATCTATCTTTTTATTCAATTATTTTGAATAATGTCAGTGCACTTTACCAACTTTTATTTTTTCTTATGTTTGAAACTATGTCGCTTTGCAAAGAAAAGAGAAAAATAAAGCACATAAGTAAATTGAGTTTTGTGCAGACATAATAACAACATTATTTTTCCTCTTCCTTCTCAAATATTTTATTTCATCAAGGAGTATTTTAGCAGACAAAAAAACGCATTTTTACTGGTGTTTTTTTATAGAAGCAACACACTTTCAACGTGTTTCAACATCTCTTCTCAGTTTAAAAACAGCATTCTTTTTTTATCGGTGTGAGGCTAGAAGAATGAGAAAAATAATCTTAGTGGTTACAATCAGATCAATAAAAGATCATTATGGGGATCGGAAATTAGATCATGATCAGAGTTGCCAGATACTATAGTTGAAAATTGGGAAAGATTTTTAGAGATCATTTTAATACATTAAACTTCAATTTTTCAATCAAAGTATCAATACCCTTGTTGTAACTCTCCACAAAATATATTTCAATGAAAAAAATATCAAAATCTAGTGAATTTAACAAATAATAAACCATAAACTATACATATACATATCAGATAATAGATTGTTTTTTTATACAATATTTTTCACTAGAGCGAATAAGTTTTAACAAATCTTGGGTGTGGGTATGAGTGAGAATGATTGTTTTATATTGATCTTTCCTTCACATGTAAATCTACACCCTAAAGATAAGAGTGTATTTCTAAAGACAAAATGTAACGATAAATTATGATTTAAATTTGATACGAAGATATTGAATATCTATTCTGAGAATATTAATTGAATTCAAATTGACAAATGAAAACAATCCAACCTTTCGCGGAAAAGAGTATTTGTTGATTGTTATCAGTAAAAAAAAGATTTATTAAAATGATATCAAAAGAGAAAGACAAAGAATAAATCATGTAGATATATAGAATAGATCATAAATAACTTTAATATAAGAAATTCAAATATTGTCAACCATAAAACATGATATTTTTATTACATGTAAAGATTAATTGAGAATACGGATACCAATATCGATAAGATCGCTAAATTCACCCACACAGCTAATGACCAAGGAAATTGCTCTTACAGGACTCTAATAGATTCCGCAACATCAGCTAAGAGTTAAAAGATTCTAAAGTATGAAGTGACTACGATCAACTACAAAAAAAGACAACGGTACAAGAAAATATTGTGTCTATTTGTCACAAATTCGAGCCAGCTTAAGAGTGGGCGGGGTGAGTGTGGATGAAGAGAAGAGTATCATCCTCACCCACACCCTAAGGATAAGAGTGAGGTTGTAGTTTGAAGGAGAGCTGATACCCAAACTCTCCTTCACACAAACACTCTAAATATTATTTTTTTTCACGATAAAAACATCAGTTAGTGAACAAGTAGAGAAAAAGAAGAACAGAAAGATAGCAATGAAAACTGGCTTGATCCATAGGAGAGGCAGATGTGGAAACATTATCGTTTTCGAAACATTGAAAGAGTAGCATATGAATATTTTGCCCTGTCTGACCAATTTCCATTGACAGATTATTTACTGTATTGATGTCATCACTGGATAAAAGAATTACACCTACACTGTTCATTTCATCTACTAGCATTAGATGTATCATGCCTAACATTGATCCGCTATGGCCAAGGTATCGACGACCATTGCTCATAGTTTGCCAATACCAACTAAGTCCAAATTGTGATGAAGGTGATTCTTGTGTAGAATTATTGTTTCCAATCAGACCATAGTCAGATATGTTACCGCCACCAACTATTGTCCGTATTTCAGCAATCGATCGGGGATGAAGAATAGAAGATCCATTATTGAGAAACATACGGAGATATACTGACAATGTATTCGCAGACATACGCAAAAGACCGGCAGGATACGCACCAAATCCGTAATTTGAAATGTGTAACCAGGTGGGTAGATTGTCCTATTACAGAAAGAAGATTACGAAAATGAGTATTATTCATCATAGAATTGCATCCTTACTGAAATTGGTGTAAAATTTAGTTGTGGCATTACTTATTGCCATCTTTCAAGATCAGTTGTATTAAATACATATGCGTAATGTTTAACAAAATCTTCTATATTTTCAAAATCAGATAATCGTACTCCGACTTTACTGATATCAACACCCAAGGGCTTGAGAACTTTTTCTTTGACATGTAGAATATAGGACATATTTGCTACTCGTTCAACAACTCGGATTGATATATTTAAGACAAAATTCAGCCAATGTTTCATCGAATGCAGTATCATCTGGTCTATATTGCATGTTTTGTTCTTCAGGTTTGACGGTGATCGAAGCCGTATGTGAAAGTAATTTACGTAGAGTAATTGAATGAGAAGGATAATCTGGATGGTAAATACGTTGAACAGATTCGAATAAGTATCGATTGATATCTGTATCAAGATCAACAAGTTCTTTTTCTACAAGTTGCATGACGGCTGTAGCAATAAATGTTTTCGAGATTGAAGCAAGAGGAAAGATTGATGTATCGATATCCATCGGACGTTTGGGTAATAAAGATTGATATCCATACGCATGTTGATAAAGTATATCAGTCGCATTGACGACAATAATGGCTGCTCCTGGAATATGAACTCTCTCAAGAGACTCATTGATCAATTGCTAATTTTGACAATGCGATATATTGCCGGCAACAAGGTGAAAGGCTAGAAACAAAACATATAACAAGTTCGCCATTATCGTTCAATACTTTTTATTCTCATATCAGAATGTTGTTTTTTTATCAAATACAAAAAAGATAAGACTTAAATCCTTTTATTGTCATAATCGCTATTTGTTTCTTTGATGCAGATTAATGTCAAATCAAAACTAAGACAATGTCAATATGAAGATAATAAGGAGAAACAAGTCTTGAAGCAGAGGATGACTTGTATAAAATTAAATGCAATCATGTCCAATGAAAGACTGTTATTCGAATTTTAAAGAATTTCTCGATTAGTTAAGATATACTTGCTTTATGAAGGATTTAGATAAACAACAGCAAAAAAAATTACATTTATGAAAGGTGTGACTGTGAGTATTCTTTTATTACAATCGTACCCTCATCCTCAAGAATACACAATGAAAAACAAAACAAAACAAAATGTTAATCTTTAGTAGTAAATTTTTCTACCAGATTAAAAGTTGAATCAACTACATACAAATCTCCATTTGTTTTATCAAGATAAATTCCTTCTGGATTAGATAATTCATCAGTTTTTTTCGAATAAGGAACCCAATGAAAATAAAACTGAATTCCAATAATATCAATTCCTGCTAAATTTGTTTTATTATTGATTAATTTAATTGTTTTATCTTGAGATATATAAAGATTTCCATGACAATCATATTCAATTCCATTGAGGGTGTAGGTGTTGAAGATGATATAATTGAAGAAACGGTTATGATATTGAGTATTCGATTGGCTACTCCAGAGGCAACGATGATAAGGAGAAAATCGTTGCCCTAGTGAAGTAACGTAGTAAATGATGTGTTTGTAGAAGAATACAGTGTAATGGAATTATGACATCACTCTTTCTGTGTATTATGACCAATACAATTTTAAACATGAAAAATTTTCCTTTAGAAAAACTGATTAAGTATGTGTCTTACTTGATAAATCCTAAATATTATTTAGTATAGCTTTGATAAAATAATCAGATGTACACCATAATATTTTCCTTATATATACTTGCGAATAAAAAGAAGCGTGTTAAAAGAAAATGAAGAGTGAAAGCAAAACTCTTTTTTTTCTAAATAAATTATAAATAACAGAATGGGAAAATAATTCCTTCCAACATAAAATGATGCGTGTTATATCATACACGAGCAAAAAAAACAATGATTTTGAAATAATTATAATGAACAAAGAGTTGATTATATCAGGTACGAATAATATATCTTGAAATGAGATAACATTGTTTATCTGAAGATAAATTATACCATAAAAAATATTTTGAAAACTTGTCTTAATATTATGTTCTACAAGAAATCATTAAAAAGTATACCCTAATCATAGATTAATTACCAAAATGTAAACAAAATAGAATCATTATTCTTTCATCATATTTTAAAAAAATTACATCAAACAATATTCATCCAAATAAAGTTCTTTTTTTCATCCTGAGTAAATTCACAATCAAATTGAGTTTAAAACCTAAATACACATTAGTATCGTAGAGAATATGTATAAATAAAATGACGATATATTTCTATACTAAAAAAGCTCACTATCATTTCAATCTAACGTCTATTAAGACTTCAAACGTTATGAAATCAATGTTAGAAAGATAAAAATCTGTTAAAAAAAATGATTGATCATAAATATAACAAAAATATGTTGTATTGTTGAATTACTTGAAACAATTTGTTTATGTATAAAATTGATCTATAAAATCATATATTATTAATGAATATTATATCTAGTTGTATAAAAAATATTATTGGTGTTATGTGACTACTTGAAAATGAATAATAATCTTAATATAAAGTTGTATGTCTTATAAATATATATATATGAATTTTATTGTAGAACTGGATTGATAATTTTGACTTCTCATACCTTATTAATTTATTATATTGTTTGTTTACCGTTAATAAAACGTTAACTTACAGCTTCATGCTTGTATATAGGTTAAAAACAATCGAATAGTCACTCTCTCTTTATTTTGTCTACACCAATCGTTGAATCTACTGCCCCTGAGTCTTTAATGATACTATGTTAATCCTACGCGATAGGCAAGATGAAAATACTAAGTATGTTTACATCTATGAAAAAAATATCGAAAATTTTTGTTTTTAACACAATGTTACCTACGTTTTTTGACATAATGAAAGAAAACGGTTAAGATAAATGACGAAGGACGAAAAGTCAGTGATGCAAACAGTATTCAATCATTCCTCATAATAATACATATAGACGCATAATACATTTTACCTCTCTTAGTAATTTATATTTGAAAAGAAAAAGGAGAATATGGATGATAAGGAACCACTATTAAAGAAACATAATAAATCACCTATTGACAATGATAGCGACAACGAAAATAAAAGGTATGATTTCTAAAAAAATATAATATTGATAAACACATAAGAACTCATCATTATTTATAGTTCTTTCGATTGGCGACAATATTTCAATCGACAAAAGACTGATGCTAGTAATAAAAAGTTAGACGATGAGAACAAACAAACAAATAAAGATATTCCAATTGGTGTTTTTCAATTGGTAAGTATATTCTAACAAGAAATATCATAAGAGAAAGCATGTTGTTTTTCTTTTCAAAATATATATGTGCATTAATTCATTTCATGTAATGATAGTTTCGATTTGCTGATCGTATTGATGTTCTTCTTATAATTACTGCTCTGTGTCTCATAGTGGGACATATAGTTTGTATTCTTGCCAACATAATTCTTTTTGGTCGAATCACGGGATTATTTGCTACTACATCATTTGCTGTTGATTGTAATAATCAAAATTTAACATCTACAATTATCAATAATACTGTATGTCCTCCTGGTGTTGATCTTAATCCATTAAATTATGATCGATTACATAAGTAATTGAATAAAAAATATTTTTATTTTTAATCTTTTCAAATTTTTCATTTGTAGATTATGTCATTATGATAATAAAATGATTTCATCGACATCATCTCCATTAACACCTTTATTTCGAGAAAATGTTATGCATCTAGTTTATTTGTTCTTCGGTAAGTCTATTGAATATGATGATTAAAATTATAAAAAAAAACAAACGATTTGTTGTTACTCTGTATCAATGTAGGTTTTAGTCTTCTTATGCTTGTATGTGGTTTTCTTGAACGTATCTGTTGGACAACTGCTACGAAACGACAGACATCTCGCATGAGTGTTTTACTCTTTCAATCACTTATTCAACGTGTAAGTAAAAATATTTTTTTACATTCATGAAATACTTTGTAGTTCGTGATCATAGATCCAAATTGAATAGTATCGAATTTCTATTAGATGGTTTAAATTCAGTGTAGATCTGCATTGTAAATGTTTTTATATCTTCAAAGACGGTTATTCATTGACGAGTAACTAAAATAAATGACTATCAACGATTAAACTAGTTAAAATACAGTTTATTCTATTTATTTCTCTTGCTTCAAGTCAAACATAAAACAAAATTAAGTAGATCATTTTGATCTCGATTTATGATTCAAGATAAAATAATGTGTTATTTCTCTTTCATTTTTTAGAACATGACTTACTTCGATACAAACCAAACTACTCAATACAATTCGAAACTTTTTACGTAAGTAAAAATAATAATTTCATAACAAACAATTATATATGATCGATTTTCTTTACAGTAATGTTGAAAAGATCAAAAATGGAATAGGTTTTGAATTCGTAATGGTAATTGCACTTATTCTAGGTATGATTTTCAGTATAATCATATGTTTTATTCTTAATTGGAAACTGTCTTTAATTATGTCTTGTATAATTCCAATTGTCCTTGGCATTTCATTGATGTTTGCTAAGGTATAAACTATTATTTAATTCATTAAATTTTTATTAATAATTATAGTTCGTGGCTAAAGAAACACAAGAACAATTAAGTACGTATTCGAAAGCTGGACAAATCGCTCAAGAAGTATTTAGTTCATTAAGAACGGTTCTTTCATTCAATGGAAGCAAATTGGAACAAAAACAGTAAATAAATAAATATAGCATTATAGAATTATTGTATTATTTATTATATGTAGATATGACAAAGAATTACAAATAAATGAATGGTGTACTGTTCGCAAAGATGCTGCATATGGTGTTTTATTTGGTTGGTTTTTTTTTATATCCTTTATAGTTTATTCAATTGGTTTCACTTTTGGTTCCATTCTTATCTCTTATACCACTCATCATACACTGAACGTCAGTGAGATAATTATTGTAAGTAAGCTTTGACATCAATATGCAAGAAAGTAATTGAAAAACGAACTTTCGTTTAGGTTGTCAATATGTTTGCACACACCTTAACTTATCTTAATTCAATTGGTCCTTTCTTCCAATCGATTTCGGAAGCTCAAGGTGCAGCAGTATCCGTCTTTCGACTTATTGATGAAGTAGAATACATTGAATACTATAGCAGCTAAATCTTGATAACAATATTTTCTATTTTATTTTATGATATAGGTACATGATGAAAATCTGAATGAAAAAGAAATATTGCAAGAGAACATATCTCATGAAAACTCGATTTCTGATATCAATGGTGATATTGAATTTGACAATGTTAGTTTTTCTTATCCATCAAGAGAAAATGCAACGGCTTTGAATAATCTTAAATTAATTGCTCGTGCGAATCAAACAACTGCTCTTGTAGGTTCAAGTGGCTGTGGTAAATCTTTTTCTCTAAAATAAACATAACATTTTAATATTGTAATTTATTGTGATAGGAAAAAGTACATGTGTATCACTTCTTCTTCGTTACTACGAACCTTCTTCAGGCAGAATTATGATTGGTGGTCAATCACTTACAGATTATAAAATCAAACCATTTCGACAACATATTGGAGTTGTTAGTCAAGAACCTGTAGGTTTCTTTTATTTTCTCTTTTAGTCTCTCTAGAATATTTATATTAAAATAGATTTTGTTTGGAATAAGTATTTATGAAAATATTCGTTTTGGTAAATTGAATGCAACACGTGAAGAGATTGAAAATGCAGCAGAACAAGCTAATGCACATAAATTCATTATGAAATTACCAAATGTTTGTTTTTTTGTATATTTATATTTATTTATTTATATTAATATTTTTGTTTGCAGAAATATGAGACACTTGTTGGTGAACGTGGTATACAATTGAGCGGTGGTGAAAAACAACGGATTGCATTGGCTCGTGCACTTGTCAAACAACCCAGCATTCTTTTGTTAGATGAAGCAACTAGTGCACTTGACAATGTTAGTGAAAGAGTTGTTCAAGAAGCACTTGATCGAGCATGCAAAAGTAAGAATTATTTAAAAAATTACTATTGATTATATTATCATTATGTGTATAGATCGTACAACAATAGTTATTGCTCATCGTTTAACTACGATTAAAAATGCTGATTATATCTATGTATTAGATGAAGGAAGTGTAATTGAAGAAGGTACACATGAAACATTATTGGCAAAAGATGGAGGGAGATATCAAACAATGGTTAAAATGCAACAATCTGAAAATACGTTTCATAGACAAGAGAGTCTGATGCAAATGGAAAAAGCAGCAGCTGAAGATGAAGAACAATTATGTATGTTACCATTCTAATATTAGTAATTATTGCATTTTATGAACTTGATTTTGTTTTTTGGAATAGTGGCACGTGTTCGTCTATTGAGTGAGAGCGAAGCAATTGATATAAATCGGGTAAAAATAAATATCTAATAATTTTTAAAGATCATTATTAATATGTAAATTTTTAGAGAGCGTCGATAGCAATAAGAGGAAGATCTGTCTTTCTAAGACTCATGAAGATGAATAGCCCTGAATGGAAATTTATCTTGATTGGTTGTGTAGTATGCATACTTGGTGGATTACGTGGACCAGTGTTCTCGCTTCTATTCGCAAAAATCATTAATGTGAGTGATTTTATTCATATGAATATTCTAACAAAAGATAAGTGAAATGTTTTTTTTTTGTCGACTTTTTCTTTTATTTAGGAATTTAATGATTGTAAAGACACTGAGATGCGTCATCGTGTGATGATTACAAGTGGTTTATTTTTTCCTTTCGGCGCTGTCTTTATGATTCTTCGTTTTTTCCAAGTAATATTAACATTACTAAACTATATCAATGAGTTTTTTATGTTTGTTTACAGTATGTCGCTTTTGGAATTGCAGGAGCGAAATTGGTTAGTCGCCTTCGTTCAAAAGCTTTTGCATGTTTACTTCGTCAAGAAGTAGCTTATTTTGATCGACCTGAAAATAGTTCCGGAGCTATATGTACTCAACTCTCTTCTAATGCAGCTGCTATTCAAGACATGGCTGGTGCAAGATTAGGTTTTATTTGCGAAACTTTATCCTTATGTTTTTTTGGCTTCGTACTTGGCATTTTTTACAGCTTAGAGTTGACAATAATCATAGCTATTCCTTTCTTTATCATACTGATCGCTGCTATTATGCAAATACGTTTGAGTTCATGGTTAAAAACACAATCTGATCTCATTTACTCTGAAGCTAGCACGGTAAAACCATTTTATTATTCATAATCTTTGAATGTGTAATAGAATTATACATTATTCGATCAAATGATTATTAAATATTCATTCTATGTTGTGTCTTATTTAGCTTGCTGTTGAAGTTATTACCAATATGCGCACAGTAAAACAGTTATCAATGGAAAATGAGGTTTTACGACAATATTCGGATCTGATTGATCAAGTATTAGGGTTAGTCTTATAAGTATTATGCATGCACCTATATATTTGATAACAAAACTCCGAGTGCTTTTAATAATCATGATTAATTCTATCAAAAGCATGTTCTTCTATATCGATAATGAAATAATAATACCGAATATAGCTCTCTTTTTTTGCAGATATTTACTTCAATCTTCAATAAATTTTCTTTTGTTTAGAATGTCTTGGAAACCTGACGCAGTTTTTGCAACAGTATCTGCATTATACTGGGCGATGGATTCATTCGCTTTGGGACTTTTGTATTGGCGTGCTTTGGTACTTGTTGAAAACAATGAACTAGACATGAACGATGTTGTTATGTAACTAAAACAATAATTTTCATAATCTATAAAATAAGTTTTATTATCTTTTGTATTTTTATAGGATTTCTGCTTTTGGAATGTTCGCAATAGAAGCACTAAAAGTTGTTGGGATGTTGTAAGATATAGAATCTATGTTTTTTTATTTTTTTTTTCGTTATTTATCATTTCAGAGGAGAACGTATTGGTTCATCATTTGCTGCTGCTCACGCTTTTTTTGATCTATTTGATCGAATACCAACTATTGATAATGGATCTACTAAAGGCCAAGAATTAGTGAAAGAAAAAGAAAACTATTGTTTTTCGATTGTATATTTTATTCTTGAATTGTTTAGACTGATTTTCGGGGAGAAACAGAATTTAATCAAGTTAAATTTATTTATCCAAGTCGTCCAACAGTTCTTGTTCTTAATAAACTTCAGTTATCTATTAAATCAGGTCAACGTATAGCTCTTGTTGGTATGTTTAACTAAATTATGTTTTCTTGTTCATTGATCGTATAATATAATCATCGATTTAGGTGCATCTGGATGTGGAAAATCAACAATTGTTCAATTATTAGAACGATTTTATGATGTTACAAATGGACAATTGGTAAGTATCTCTTTTCTATATATATAATTCAAGTACTTTTATAAACAAAAATATTAATATAAACAAGACTCTTGATGGTGTTGATATTCGAAAACTAAATGTTCAATGGCTTCGTTCTTGTCTGGGTGTTGTTAGTCAAGAACCAGTTTTATTTGATTTAACAATTGCTGAAAATATAGCATATGGATTAGAAAATATACCAATGGATGAGATTGTTCTTGCTGCAACTAAAGCTAATATTCATGAATTTATTCAACAATTACCTCAAGTTAGATTAATATTTTGATTGTTTAAAAATATTATCTAATTTTGTTATAGGGTTATGAGACAAAAGTTGGTGTAAAAGGTAGCTTTTTATCAGGTGGTGAAAAACAACGTATTGCTATTGCTCGAGTTCTTATTCGTCGACCTAAAATATTATTATTAGATGAAGCTACAAGTGCTATGGATCCATACAATGAACGAGTAAGTTTATTTTCTTTTATATATATAATTAATATTTTTAATAATCAAAGATAGTACAAGAAACTCTTGATCAAGCTCAAACAGACGATTCTAGTCGAACATCAATTATTATTGCACATCGTCTTTCAACAATACGTTCATGTGATTTAATATATGTACTTGAAATGGGTCGTATAGTCGAAAGTGGTACTCATATAGAACTAATACAAAAAGGTGGAATTTATTATAAAATGTTAAATGCACAAAACAACGTACAATAATTATTATTCAACTATTTCATTAACAAATATTTTTTACTAATTTTCTTTTTTTTCTATAATATGTATGAAATTAACTTTGAATTAAATTACATCTAATTTCATAGAAAATTTCAGTGATCAATTTTTGATATCAACGAAATATTTTAATAAATTAAATAATAGAAGAGAAATTGTGAAAGTATTAAGCCAATATTTTATTTCCACTATAAGTTCACAATATCCATTGATTAAATCTGATAACATTTACAAAAATTCTCTTCAAATATCGCTTGAAAAGAAATTCGAAGGGTCTCGCGTATTATATATTTATTTACTATGAAAAATATTTCTTATTGCCTTTTCCCTTTGCTTTTCTTCATCTTGTTTACAATTATTCAACAAGTATTTATATTTACATTTGTTTCATTTCTTTCTAACATAAAAAATAATTAAAAAAATTTTTCTTTCTTTTTTTGTTTCTTTCACATAAAATCTCAATTATATTTGTAATTACTTTGTTGATTTGAATTTAATTAAAAATTCAGTTGAATGTTATCAATAAATTTATGATGTTTAATTTAGAGAAATAATTTTTGTCCAAGAACTTGCCCAGCTCCCTTTTTTAGATATAGTGTTTCGAGAATATCAGCAAACTTTTCTTTTAATTAATCAATAATTATTTAATAAAGAACTAATCTCAGATTTGAATTCTTGAACTTCAATTATGTTTTAGTTAAGTTTTATAGGAAATGTTATTAATATTTAATAATTCGTTAAGCCGAAGGTTAGTTTAGGCTTCCCTATTCTCTAGTATAAATAGAATATTTTGACTGTAGAGTGAATTTTGATAAATAGGTAAAATGTGGATGACAGGCTTTTTGTTGACTCACGTCAGTTTTGGCTCGCTTCATATCATTTCGAAAAACAAATCAACCAATACACCTGCATGTCCTAGAATGTAAGAAGCATGCGCGTCAAAACAAAAACAAATCACATACATTATATATTCACTACCGCGTGAGAGACGTTTTGCAATACTACTGGGAAAATACGTACGAAAGAGAGTAGGATTTGCGATGAAAGTCAAATAATATAGTCTATTATGGCGATGCTATATGGATAAATCCAACATGTATAAATCCAACATGTATATATATATATATATATATATATATATACATGCTCGGTAATCAAAGGGTTAATAATAAATTGCATCAGTATCAAAACAACTAATAACATCATGGAGCAAGAATCTGCAAATTTATTGCAAAATCATGCCAGAAGTACAATAGTACAAAGTCGTAGTATTCGTTCTCAAAAAAAATTATGCAAGTAAGAATATTTTAATGCTAAACATAATCAAGAAAATATGTACAATCTATTTTTTTATTCATTAGAATATTCTCAAATAAATATATTGCACAATGTTTCATTCCTACACGTTTGAATCGAGTTTTGAACAATTTGCATCGTTTGGCAGAAGGTTTTCTGGACAATAATCAAGATGCAGACAGATTATTACAAAAGATAATAAAATCAGGATTTAAATTTCATGTGCTCTACAGGAATCGAATTATTCCATTCAGCCCAGATGGTAGACGATTAATGATGAAATTGCGTGATGAATTTATTTTAGTTTTTGCAATGATTGTTGCCCTCAACTATTTGGATCTCATATTCATTCAATACTCGCTCCAACGTAAACTCCAACGTAAACTCAGACATTGTCAACAGTTAATTCGCAGAATTATTGGAAATCACCTGACACAAAAAAGTCATGATCGAATCGATTTTATTTTTGATTTTATTTCGGATGCAGATTTTTTGGCCTATATTTTTGATTCTGAATTAACACGTAATCATGCTATCATCGAAGAAATTATCGATGATCTACGTGCATTGATGTCTGATGCTCTACTTGCATTGTTATCTGATGCTCTAAGTGCATTGATGCCTGATTCTCTACGGGTATTGATGTCTGATGCTCTACGTGTATTCGTGCGTGATAGTCTAATCTAAGAATAATTTTTTTTTCTTTTGTATCTTATATTTAAACCTGATATATTTCTGTTCTAATAATAAAACGTGGAAAAGAATCAACTCGTTACAAAAACTTAAAATTTCAAGTTTACGCACTTTTAAAGCTCATTGTTTTTTTTAGTCAGAGACTATGACTATTTGTATATTTTTGTATGAGATATAAGCAAGATTTATCATTTCTATATATTTTATTTTTTTCAAAATTAAATAGATCACATTCGAATGAATATCTAAAAATTGATCGAATCCTTTTCGTACTTCTTGATTATCTAAATTCGAAAATTGATTTATAGTTTATTCAATATCATTTTTTAATTTATTATTTTCTAAAAGTGCTTGTGTAAGAATTAATTCTGACCAGCTACGAACATAAGATATGGGTATAGGTAGTGTGAATGTATTTTATCTTTACCTACATCCATTCCCTCATTATTATCGAGTTTTGATTGAGTTTTTCTTATTCGATGAAAGAAACTAAATCTAGTTTTTAATTTATAATCAAAAAACAATAGGAAATAAAATCGAATGAAGTAATCTGATTGCTTTAAAAGAATTTGATCCACTGTTTACAGAATCAAAGTATGGGTACAAAAAACGATCATACATCTAGTAACTATAAAATAAGACGATGAATCGGGTAATTCGTCAAAGGAATAATTTAAAAAATTCACTTCGCAAAAAATCTGTTGAATGAATCTCGTTCTAACAAATAAAATTACTTTCAATAATATAATTTATTATTTTTGTAATAATTCGAAAAAGCTTTGGAAGGCACTTTTACATACAAGTTAGACTCGTGTGCCATCTAGTTATATGTGCACTGGTTGATAGCATGAAAAGACATCATATATATGACCTATATAGAGCAAATAAAAGGAAGAAAAATAAACTGCATGATAGTTTTAAGTTTTTGCGTTCTTCATTTTTATCAAATACACGTGTTTTTCAAACAAAGCATTTTCTCTATTCTACATTCATAAAACACACCTCTTTTATTATATAAATATCTTTGTATAGAATATAGAGTCTTTAGTCTTATAAAGATGCCTTTTCGTGATCAATGGCGTGATGTAAAATGTTTATATGATGACGGTATTCCAATAGATACAACAAGTAATGAAACAGCAAAATTATTCGATGCTGCTCTTACACAATACACTGGCTGGTAAATAAATAAATAAACCGTTTTTTTTATAAAAATTCAAAAGTATTGTTTTTTCTTCTCAAGGTATAATGATAAACAATTGGACGGTGTTGAATCAACTATATCACGTCTTCTATCATCTGATCCAACATGTATAACTAGTCGTATACTAGCAACTGGTATTGATTTATTAGGTACAGCAACTCCATCATCATCTCATCATTCCAAAACTCTTGAATCACTTGGAAATATAACATCATCAAATAAATATATTCAACTTCATAGTCAAGCGCTTCTTCAATGGTCACTTGGTCAATTTGCTAAAGCTACTGATACATGGGAACAAATTCTTGTTCTATATCCATTTGATATGATGTCAATTAAATTTGTATCAGATACATATTTTTATGTTGGTAATCGTGATATGCTTCGTGATTCAATTGCACGAATTTTACCTATATGGGAAACATCAACTGATCGACCATTAAAATCATATTTATATGGTATGTATGCATTTGGATTAGGTGAAACAAATATGATTGAAAGAGCTGAAAAAGAAGCTCGATTTGGATTAGAACTCAATCCACATGATGGTTGGGCAACACATGCATTAGCACATGCTTTAGAATATGCTGGAGAAACATCTCAAGGAATTCAATTTTTAAAAGAAACCAATCAAAATTGGCAACACAGTGATATTATTAAGCCACATATTGATTGGCATTGGGCTTTATATGAAATAGAACAAGGCAATAAAGAAATAGCTGAAAATATTTTAACAAATCATTTATTAAATAGAAATACTGATATGGGTATGCTAGATTTTGTAGATGTTGCATCATTAATTTATCGTCTTAAACTTGCTGGACAAAAATCTTCAACAATTTATTCATCAACTCAATTAAAAAAATTCTTAAATGATCATTTACATGATCATACATTGATATTTAATGATCTTCATATTTATTTTATATTAGATGATTATGTTGATCAAGAAAATCGAATGGATTTTCTTCGAACTTTGAAAGAATGTTATGATACATCTGATTCTGATAATAGTCAAGTTTATCGTCAAGTTGGACAATATATATTTAAAGCTATGGATCAATTTCAAGAGAAAAATTATTCACAAGTTGTTGAACTTCTTTATCCAATAAGAAATAAAATTTATCAAATTGGTGGATCAAATGCACAACGTGATCTTTTCTATTTATTATTAATTCATTCAGCAGTTCATTCATCGAATAATCAACATCAACAGTTAGCTAAACAATTAATCAATGAACGATGTTTAATGCGAAATAAAACAAAATCAAAAATGATGGAAAATTATGCTAATACAATACTTAATGATTAATTAACTACGAAAACATTTTTAGACTATAAAGAAAAAACAAAGATTAAACTTTTTCTAATTATTTTTTTTTTTAGTATAACATTTAATAGTGTTTGTTTTATCAAAATGAAAGATGATTAAAATTAGATCGTATTTTTAGTTTTAAAAATGGACAGAAACTATGATTTTCATTAATTGACATTATAAGAAAATACTAAAAGAATTGTTGATAAATTATTGACTTTAATAACTTAAGAATAATAGCTACTTCATTTTCATTGACTGCGTATTTTTTTCCGTAGTATTATAAACACATTCGTACTTGACTGTTAGAGTAGCTCTTTTTCCGAGTACGCAGCTAACAATAAAGGAAATTTTAGTCTTTGTAAAGAATATAATATTTTGTTATTACATTTTAAGATCATTTTTTTTTCAAAATACGTGTTTTATTATTTTATCGTTAATAAATTCTTTAGATTTTTATATTTGAAAATAAATAATTTAAAATAAAAGATATATTTCAAATATCATTGTTGATATATTAATTGCATGTATTATTCGTTATTTGAGCTATAAATATTTGTATTTGATCACGAAAAGAAAAGAAAACGATAGCTGGTTATAAGCGATACTTTGGAGTATTTCTTTTTATACTGTCGTCGTTCTCGGAACACATACTTTAGCTTGATTAAATTGTGATGAATGAAATTTATATTAACAGATGGCGTACTAAAACAATCAATATAATAGCTAAATGCATTAATAAAAACTAATCAATTAGAAACACTTTCAAATATCTATGTCGTTAATTTAAAAATAAAATCTTATTAATTTTAGTTTAATATTAATAATTTATTTTAATGTCCATTGCCATGCAACAGACGATTCAGTACCTTATTTTTTTAGTTACCATCAGGAGTTCACAATAACAAAAACACGATAAGAAAATTTACATGAAATCCTCTTAACGTTCTTTTTTCTGTTGTTGCCGTGGTCGTTACACACGCAAACGACATATTTCCATTCGAAAACTGAATCACGCACATGACAAAATGAATGGGGTTGTTTTTTTATTTCTTTATTTTTGCAGATGTGTATTGATTAGAATAGAAAAAGTACAAGTGTGTTCGCTTCTATTGTCGTTGACTTATTTTCTTCCATCATCATTATTCGGGTTAATTTAGCTATTAAATTATCATAAATAATTGAAGACAATGACTAAATTATGTATATGTCAAATTTGTACCTGTGGGTAAGTTAATAAATATTATCTTGATAATGAGAAAAATTAAAAAAATCTGTAAGTTAATCGAATCATATCATAACATTTGTTATATTCAAGGTTTTTGTTATTGTGTTTCTTTGAATGACGAAAAAAAAACATACCAGCTGTTACATATTCTTTCTAGGAAACATCGTTGTCCACATCGTCCTTATGGTATTATTGGTAAAGGTGATCAAGATTGTGCGGTAACTGAATATCGTTCGGAATTCATTCCTCGTCAAGGTGGTGTACGAGAATCATTCAAACCTGAATATAATTTACAATTAAGTACAGCACGTTTGGATGATGAAACAACACATAAGTAATTGAATGATTTTAATCAAAATATAGTATTCAATTTATTGCTTTACTTAGACATGATTTTATTCAACACTCACTTTATCAACAACATTCCTATAAACCACACGAAGTTTATGTTAAACAAGGAGATTTTGATTCGGCAACTAGTTATAATACTGAATACACACGTATAAGAAATATTTATTCTTTTATTTTATCAAAAATAAATTTCATATTATTTTAGCCAAAGGCGGTGAACGAGCTCAAATGATTAGACATGAAGATCATCGATCAGCACAACTTCCATTTGAAGGCAATCCAACATATCGAAGTATATTTTATTTAATTAAATTTTTCGTTAGAGTTTTTTTCATTCGTTTTCTTCTTCTAGGTGATTATCGTAAATGGGAAAGTGGTCGAACTGAAGCCATCCGACACGATGGTGGATATGTAAGATTAATTTTTTTTTTATCATATTTGTTTTTATTATTTTTCATTCAAGATTCCACCAACAGCTCCATTTGGAGGTGAAAGTACATATACAACAGATTTTTTAAAACATCAAGGAGCAATGCGTCAAGCTATTCGACCTGATCAATCTATCTTAGCATCTCATGATCCATTTGATGATCGTACTGGTTATCGTTCAGATTATATTCAACATCCACAACAAGAACGTTTTCAACGTATAAGAGATGAATATGTTCCAAATCAAGCTTCTTTAGATTCATTAACAACACATCGAAGAGATTTTACACCAAAAGATGGTATAAAATAAAAGAAAAATTAATAAAAACAAAATTTATCTTTTTTTTGTATATTTAGCTGATCGAACACGTTCAATGAAACCTGATCAACAAGGTTTTCGATCAGATGCCCGTTTTGATGATACAACAACAAATAAAACAGATTATAAACCATGGGAAGTACATCCGATTCAAACACATAGACCTGATGTCTATCGAGGAGTAAATGGTGAAATGGATTTAAATACAATGTATAATTCAGAATTTACACCAAAATCATTTTCAAAAGTTGCAGCAATTAGACCAATTGAAAGACGTGGAACTGATGCTAAATTTGAAGGAAATACAACTTATTTAGGTGATTATAAACAATGGCCTGAAGGACGACAAGCAGCTATACGAGGACAAAATGGTTATATACCTCCAAGTGCACCCTTTGAAGGAATGTCAACATATCGAGGTTAACATAAAATTTTTTCATTTTATTAATTTTAAAAAAATTTTTCGCAGGTCATTATATTCAACATGATGGTGAAATGCAACGTTCATTTAAACCTGATGGTATTGCCTACAGATCAACAGTTCCATTTGATGATACGACTATGTACAAAACTGAATATACTAAAAAAGAAATTGAACCTTGTCCAGCTACTTTTCTTGAGTAAGATCTATTTTTGTTTTAGTCATATTTTCTTCATGCATTTTTCTAAATATAGAACACCAAGAAGTAATTTTGTTCTTCATCATGTCGAACCAACTGGTCATAAATTTTATGAATCACAGAATGGAACATATCAACCACAATATCAACAACCTCTTGCAGTTTAATACACGCTAATAACCTACGCATCGAATAGTGAAGAAGAAAAAAACAGCGAATTATCATCATTTTATTTTTATTTTTTTTTTTGTCACTTACTTATTTTATTTTACTTGGAAGAGTTTCGTTTTTTCTTTAATATATTTCATAACTCTCTCTTGCTCCAGATCTGTTCTCTTTTTTTTCTAAGAAATATATATCTATTGGTTTAAAGAAAAAACTTATTTATTCTTACAACTGAATCGATTAAGAAGGACGTTAGTAATGAAACCATTGAAACACTCACACTTGAAATAATTCTTTTCTTTTACTAAACGAAAAGAGTTTAATTTCGATCGAATTATTTATTTTGTGAATTTTCTACACAACAATTAAGTTGACAGATATAATTACAAAGTTTTAAAGTCAATTATTTTTAAATTTTCACAATATAATACATGAAATTTGTTCTAAATATACTTCATTGAAAATAAAATTTATATCTGCTTTACATTATTTATCGAGAAAAAAAAAGAAGAAAAGTTCGAGAGAAAACAAAATCTCTTTATAAGAAAAAAAACAAACTTTTCTTCTTTTATATACAATAGCATGAACAATGTTATGCAGACAAAAAAAGAGAACCTGTACAATAAATAAAATAGGAAGTTCGATATCAAATTATACATATAAAAAACAAAAGATTATCGAAAAAAAAATATCTGACATAATATAAGAGAAAATTGTTTTATTTTTTGAATATTATACAACAAAAATATCTTATTTCATACGTGTAGATGTTGAGTTAAAATGCTTATCATTTGATATAGATTTCTTTTTATCATCAATGACAACATTGCCTTTTAATTTTGATTTTAATAAAGATGTTGATCTAAACATTTTTATGAATAATAGAAAAGAAAATTTACATAAATATCTATTTACTTATTTGAAGTCGTAGGAAGAGATGTTAATGGACCAGTTGGTCGTCGTATAGTTGAAATATTTGTATTTGATCTAGATTTAATTCGATGTAAATATAAAAACAACAAGAAAATATTTTTTTACTTTGAAAATGTATTATTATTAATCATTCGAGATCGATCACCTATTAGAATTTCGAAAACAATTATAATAGAATGAAAAGATTTTTTTTTACTTGAGGGCATTCGGCTATTAGTCGATTTAGTTGTTAATTGTTTCTAAAAAAATAACATTATTCGAAAAAACAATATAATTAAATTATTATCTAAAACCTGTTTTTGAATTTTTGGTATATTTTCAATTTCTTCTCGAAGATTTCTATAGACAAAATACAAATATTATATATACTTAATTCTATTAATTAATTTCTACTTTATAGTCAGGTCATTTTCAATTAATTTATTATTCATTTCTTGTTTCATTAATTCATATTCAATCACAATCTACAAATATTTGTTTGTTTTTTTTTCGATGATTCAATTTCTATAAAATTACTTTATCAAATGTTTCTTTTTCTAATAATAACATTGTATGATCATTTCGAAGATTATCAAGTTCAAGATTCTAATCATAAACGAAATAAAATAAAAATAAAAAAATATTATAAATTCATTTACAGTTTGAGCAAGTAATTGTTCTTTGTCCAGAAGAGATGTATTGTATTGTTGACATTGTGAATTATGTTCTAAAGGAAAATTTCGAAAAAATAAAATTTCTTTATTAAATTTAATTCATACCTTGAATAAGTTTATCAACTATTTGTTGATGCTCTTGTTTTAGTATCTCTAATTCATTTTCATGTGACTAAAAAATAGAAATTTGTCATAAAGAGATGTTCGAAATTCGCTAGTGTCACTTTAGATATTGAAATAATTACTTTTTTTAATAAAATACATTCAAGTTGTAAATTTGCTTTACTCTAAATATAAAAATCAATATTATTTTTCTTAGAAAATTAAAAACCTTACTTCTTCTAAAACTTTATTTTCTTCTCTCATTTGAATAAAATCTTGATCAGAATCAATTTCTAAAACATCATCAAAATAATTCAAAGAAATTCTTTTGTTTTGTTTGACTAACGTTTACTAAATTTATTTAAAGGTGTACATCCACCTATTTTACGTTTATTATTTATTGGTGTTCCAGTTGTATTTAATATAGATTGACTTATATTAACACCAGAAAAATCTTTACGTCTTGTTGAATGTGCAAGTATTGGTTGTCGACGAATTTTAATACTAAATTAAAATATATTAGTCTTGAATTAAGATAATATATGATAAATGAATACCTATTATTTATTTCAGAAGTGTCAGTTGAATCCTCTTCATCAACAAGAATTGGTAATCGTGCAAGTGCTTCATTCAATGCATCTTGATCCATCGGTCGTATAGGTCGATTATCATAATCTGAATAAATATTTTCATCTTGGGAAGTATTCATCGATGGTTCGAGATCCATGAATTTTATCAGTTTTTTTTATTTAATATTAAAATAATTAATCTGAAAAAGTAAAGAAAGAATATATATGTTTATTTGAATCTTTTAGACTATCTGACAAGACATAAAAAAAAGAAGAATTATTTAATTGCTAGCAGCACGAAAATGATCATCATCTGTTGTTGAATAGATATGACCTTCACCAGAAAGAAATTCTAATGCTTGCCTAAAGAAAAATCTTATATAATTTTTCTAAAAATAAAATAAATCTTCATTTACTTGACTTGATTTTCACTAAATTGCTTTAATTGTTTACATATTTCTGTTACACTATAACCTGTCATTGATGTTACTGTTTTTAATAAATTAAGAACAGCATTTTGTACTGGTGTAAAACCATTTGATACTTGTTGACTATGCATACCACCACTACCAGTATGATGATTATTATTATTTGTTCCCATATTTGTTCCAGTCTAATTCGAGAAAATAATTTGCTTAGAAAAAATATTTTTTTAAACATACAAGTTCGCCTTGTTTTCGAATATTCATACTAGCATGAATACATTCGATTGAATGAGCTATTAATTCATTTAATGATTGCATTTTACTAATATGATGTGCTACAACATGAACTTTATTAGAAAAAATTTTAACTTGACCAACAACTTTAACATAAGTTAATGGTTTTAATGGTTCACCAGAATCCTAAAAAAATTAATCTTATTTTTATCATAAGAGGAAATGATAACATACATCATGCCACCATTTTATTTCAAGTAAACCACCAGAATGATCATCAATTTCATATGTAGCTAAACTACCATTAACTTCATGATTTGCTTCACGAATTAAACCCATAAGCATAACTGTATTAAATTTTAAATGTTTATATACGAAACAATTATCTGCTTCAGAATGCTTTGCATTAAGAATTGTGGCTAATGTACATGTTAAGACACCTTTGACTGATGCACGCTAGAAGTTTCTTCTTATTGTTAATCAAATATAGATTTTTATTAGAAGAAAAACAAACCTGAGCATTACCAGCATCATTATCACCAGCAGCTTTTCGTTGTTGAAAACCACTGCTACCTCCTTGTTCTGAAATATATAGTACAAAATATTATCATTATTATTATATATTCATTTCTTCTTACCCCAAAGTGCCATTGTTTAGTAAGAGAATTTCGAAGAATCAGTTGTAAGTGATGATAAAGACAAAGTTAAGTGATGAATATCTATCTATCTATATAAATGTAACAATAGATGTTTTATAATTCGTTAGCCAATCGATGTATATTCATATTTATTGGATAATCATTCTTTTCTATAGGTGACGTTCATAGATGAAAAATAAAGTCATTAACTTTAACATTTATATATATGAATCAGTGCCAATGAAATTAATTGTACAAAGAAAAATAGTAAAGGACGAGGCACCGTTTAATGGACAAACTATTCCCCATCCTTTGAGAAAAATATCCTTTTCTTTTTTTACTTTCGTTTCAAAAATAAAAAGAACAATAAAATGAAAATTTTTTCATTTTGGAGGGGGTAGTTTGCCTCCATGCAACATTTATATCTAGTTTCTGACTTAAACGTAAATAAGAAAAACAGTTGTGGATGATCTTTTGTTCGTGTAATTTGAAAAAAGAATACGAATCCGACAATGTACTAGTTTGATTGAATGATGGAAACTGAATGTTTTCACTAAGAGTGTCATTAAGAATCGAAGTATAATTCTCACAAATCTCACTTTTTTGTTAGTTTTAATACGTTTTACTAAAATTTATTTGTAGTATGGTAATCTACAAACTGGTAATTTCGAGAGAAAAAGTGAAAGTAGAAACGAAAAAATCATCATACAATAAATTTCAAGTAGTTCTGTTTCTGAGAAGAAAGTTTCAGCAGTTATTGTCTTTCAATCAAAGAGTCATCTCAAATGAATCTATTCATATCTAAATAAAAGAATTTTTTCAAAAGTTAACTTTACAAACTTAAAAGTAGCAGAAGAACGTGAAAGTACAAATTAATCTAATAATTTCATACACAAATATTATTAATCATGTTTTTTATTGAAAGATTACATAATAAATTTCATGCAAGTACATCAAAAGTTTTCGTTCTTCTCTGTTAACATCAAAACATTAGGTATTTCACTATAAATATAATCACGGTACTTATGATCAAGTTTCATTTTGAGAAATGCTTTGTATGGCACCGTTTCTTTAAACCACAATTTGCCTGCTGGTGAAGCAGCACTTACATGTTTTTCAACAGCTTTACGAACAATTGTCCAACCTTTGCGTGAATAATGGAGATCCAATGCACGTACTAATCGATTCATGTGACCTTGGATAAGACAATGGAACACTTTAGTGTATACTTCCATAATATCATCGGTAACAATGCATGAATTGGGGAAAAGATCAAGTTTGAATGGAGTTGTACTTTCAAATTGTTCTCGATGAATTCGAAGACCACCAAAATCTCGTATAGCAAAACCAATTAATTGTCCTGTATGTCGATCGAATCTTGCCAGTGTATTCTGTCCATGTGCTTCAAAACAAAATCCATGTTTGATCATTGGTGGTAAGAAGGCTGCACAAGCAAGTTCAGCATATCTTGTAAGAAAATTGATGCACTTCTGTTCGGTATTGAGATGGAAGATTGCTCGGACAAGAGTCATACTACCATTAGGTGTTTTCTCAACGAGACATTGTGCTACAATAACTGATTCGTTAGGCATGAGTAATTCTGGATCTTCACGTACAATACAAGCAATATGTTTGCTGATCATTTCATCAGGAGAATTAGAACCAATCGATGCGACTTCGCCTATCGGAATAAGACATTCAGGAGCAACAAATTTGGCGAGTGAAGTAATACGAGGACCATTGTAAGCAGAATAACAGGATATAGTTCGCCATGCACCAGTTGTCAAAATGCTTAGTGCCATTTTCAGATGATAACCAGGTAAATCCGAGACAGGTACAGGTATGATAGATCGAACAGATGCTTGAGCAAGAGATTGTCGTTCAGAGTTCGGAATAAGTGTTGCCGATGGAATCAATGAAAGAACTTTTGATACTTGTAACTGATGAACGGGTAAAATGAGCGTATCGGGTGATAACGCCGATGGAAGATAATCTTTCATAATCGTCTCCCAGTTACCATAAACAACCAATTCTGAACGAGGAATCGAAATAAACTTGATACAGGGAGCCAATAAGATCGATTCGAAACCGTCAAAAGGTATTCGTGTACGATGCATTGGATGAGTTGGATGACCTTCAATTAAATATTGTTCCCATTGAATAGGCGGAGACGATAGAGATGGAATTTTTGTAGGAAGATGATTATATATCCATTCTTGATTTCGAACTGAGCTTATCAGTTGTTGTTTTAATTCGGCAGTGCATCCTTTCCAAAAATGATCGGCAATTCCAATTGGACAGAAAAGTTCTTTACTATTTGCATCAAAGATATGAAAAGGTACAATATCAGCAGGATCTAACGAAGTTAAATTACCCACTGGAACTGGATGAACGATTGAAAGAAAGAGTTTGTAATCGATCCCATTATCATCGAAAGAATCTAGGACGACAATTGAAGCTGAATCAGCATTAGCTCGAATTAAACCTTCATTGATCAGAGATGCAATAAGACGCGATGACGTAGCAAAACGAGCTCGTTCTAGGGCAGTACGATGAATTAATGACATATAAATAATAAAATAGTCCGACGAGTTAAGGTGCCAACTATTTATCTCACAATCAAAAAAGTCAAAATAAATGAAAATATAGCAACTCAATTTTTGATAAAATAATCTACACCAACAGACGAAGATCAAAGGTAAATGACGAATAAAAATGGATCTGCAAAAAGTTTTTGAGAAACATTTAAAAAAAAATATCTCACGAAAATAGAGTTTAGAGCTCGGGCGAGTACAAGTACAGCAACTACAAAAAAATGCTTTCATATTTATTGTTAAGTACTAAAATAGTAATTGGTACTTGTACTTGATGTATCAATACTAAAAATTTGGTCTTTGACACACTGTACGTTGGATAAAGTCTATAAGAGTATCGTTGTATCGACCCACAACAAAGCAGTGACATGAACAGCATTTGAATGCTAGTTTTTTTTGTGCCTTAATAAACTACTCTTAAATTTTCGATGTTTACTGTCACTATCCTCAAGAAGAAAAGCAAAAGAAGCGAGAAAAAACTCATATATATATATATGCAGCTGAATATGTTATAAAACAAATATACTCGAACTACAGAACTAAAGAAGAGAAATATATATGCACTTTAAGTATGTATGATTACTTTGTATTCCAATCAGCTGTGAACATATATGTGCTAAATTTCTTTTTTTTATTATTGTCTGCTCTGTTGATGATGATAATGAATAACGTCAGCTAACGGTTTGAAAAGTAAAAAGAGTTGAAATATAGGGATCACTCTATCTCTATAAATAGTAAACCAAGTTTAAGCGAAACTAAAAGTTTCTTCGGGTGCAAAAACTTTCGTCCAAGCTCTAATAGAGTTAATCTACAAAAGATTTGTTTAAAATTGACTGTACCCAGAAAAATAAACAACCAAAATTATTAAATAAGATAAGTTAACACGTACGAAAATAACAACGAACTGAATAATAAAAAGAAAATATGCATCTAAATACAATATACAATACACATTTCTTTCTACGGTTATTTATTCTATATAGAATGTATATCAGTAAA